TCCTTAAAAAATTCTCATCTTACAAACCCAAGCGAATTTTAATTTGCAATTTTTACCATATTTAGAAAACACTTGATTCTAAACATTACAAAAGCTTGATAAAAATTTCCAAAAAGATTGATTTTTGCCAGTTTAGTACAAGTGGGTCTCAAAATCATTAAATATTAGGCCCAAAGTGAATGATTTTTCTTCACTGCGCTCTCCCCTTAAAAAATTCTCATCTTACAAACCCAAGCGAATTTTAATTTACAATTTTTACCATATTTAGGAAACACTTGACTCTAAACATTGCAAAAGTTTGATAAAAATTTCTAAGGAAATTGATTTTTGCCAGTTTAGTACAAGTCGGTTTCAAAATCATTAAATATTAGGCCCAAAGTGAACGATTTTTCTCCACTGCGCTCTCTCCTTAAAAAAATCGCATCTTACAAACCAAGGCGAATTTCAACTTGCAATTTTTACAATATTTAGAAAACACTTGACTCTAAACATTACAAAAGCTTGATAAAAATTTCCAAGAAGATTAATTTTTGCCAGTTTAGTACAAGTTGTCTTAAGTAGACTGCATCTTTTTGAATTTTAGACGAATTTTTTAAAACCTCTTTTGGCTAACGTTCTGCATTGTCGTTGCTTTTCACTAAAAATTGGGGCTTCAAAATTGAAAATCATGGAAATTTATTTTTTATGTGCTCGATGTTTTCAGGGAATTTCAAAATTTCCAGGGACTCAAATTTTAAAACACCCAGCATAGCAAGAACGGTTGGAAATATCCGATCAGTCGTAATGACCTCTAAAAAGACAGACGCACAAACATCGGGTTCATTGAGCACATCAAACTTCTAAATAAAATCATAAAAAATATTAGATGCATTTTGATAATAGGATTGTAAATTGTGCCATTTGCAACGTTGCCAAGCATACCTAACAATCCCCAAAAAACGAAACTTTTTCTCTGTTCAGAAGATATAGCAGTTGCAAAGATGGATTAGTTAATTGGTGGTAAATTTTTGTTTGTAAACCTCTCTAAGGCTAACGCTTTACTTTGTGTTCGCTGTGTCTTAGCATATAAAAATATATAGATTTCCGGCACATTTAATTTCGAAATCCCAGTTGCCAACAACGGTTTAAAAAGTAAAGAAAAGTTCTAATTCAATAAGCACATCTAAATAAAATTAGGCCACAACCTAATCAAATAAAGCACATTTCTTCAATGGTTCAATGGTGATTTTTTCGAGTGCTTTCTGACCACGCGCTTGATTACCGCTTTGGGAATTTTAGAGGAAGAATAATAACTGAGTTGTTCGAGACCGAAATGAAATAACTTTTAACACGATAAAGCTCTGGTTTCGGACAAAGACCGTCCGCAAATCGTGAAATTTCTGCGGTTTTTACTGGGCCGTTGTGCACCCTTTCGGTTATTTATGCCCCGATTCGCCAAACGCCACTGTTTGCTTTAAACCGCCCTTGAGTTCCGCAGAGAAACCAGCTGGTTTCAAATTAAATATTCATTTTTTGATCAATTGTAGCCCGTATACGAAAATATTTCTGTAATACGAATTTAAATTCATCTTTTCGTTGATTTTGAAACCGTTTCGGTGGGTTCAGTTGCGTTTTAGAAGAGGAGGTGCGAAAGTAATGGAGATTAGAGCTTTTTTGTCGGTCCAAGTAACGTGCTGATGCCCCATAAATCAACGCTTTGAGTTTCCGCAATAAATAAACTTTTATTCAATAAACACCCCCCAAGTTTCCACTAATATCGAGTGAAATCTGTGCAGTTCAATCATCAATTTGCAAAAATCGTGGGCTCAATCCCAGCCAGGATCTCGTTAGATTTTTCTTGTGCATTCAACTTTAGCATAAAATTTCATATGCATTTTTTATCCTCTTTGGTCACGTGCTTGGCTCGAACCAATTCTGCACGTGGGCATTTTCCAGTTCCAGATTATGACCCCATTCGAGGCATTCCGCTAACAATTCTTCGATTCCCCAAAGCCGAATAACCGATCGCATTTCCGCTGGACCCGCTTAAACTCGTTATTGAATGAATTTCAGCGCATCGGAAAAACTGCTGCTTGATGGACTTGCAAACGCGTAGAAATTCATCTGCTCTTTCATTGGAAACCTGCAAAGGCTTCGGATAAAAGTCTGGAATTATCCAGGCTTGCATAAGCAGGCAATTTTTTGTGATTGTGAAAGACTGGTGAAGTTAAAGCAGTGAATGGAAACTTTCAATGTGAAGCACCGCAAGGGAATGGATTTGGAAAGAGCAAATCAAAATCAATTCCTGGGCTTCAGTCATTTATTGTCTATTTATCAATTAAAATACGTTTCGGTGTTTTCCACCATCATCAGTTTCTATGTG